ATAGAATCATAGAATGGTTAGGGCTGGAAGGGACCTTCAAAGGTCATCTAGTCCAACCCCCCTGCAAGGAACAGGGATATCTCCAACTAGATCAGGTTGCTCAGGGCCTCGTCCAACCTGGCCTTGAACGTCTCCAGGGATGGAGCATCCACCACCTCTCTGGGCAACCTGTTCCAGTGTTCTACAACTCTCATGGTAAAAAATTTTTTCCTAATATCCAATATGAAGAAGTTGGTTGCAATCCTCAGCACTGGCTGACTCAGTTTAGGTAGGAGAACCAAACCCAACGGATTTCGGCCCATGGAAACCAGAAAAAACTGAATTTGACTCTGTTTTTCATCTGTCTCTGCTTTCCAAGGCGAGCTTTTTTCAACCATTAGGATTATTATATCTATTTTTTCTCAGCACTTGCTCTGCAAGTGAAACGCACGAGGTAAGCCCAAAGCTCAGTCACCTCGCTTAAAACTGGAGGATCTGGCTCAAAATTAGTCACTCTATTGAAAGACCTACCCAGCAAAAAAAAATAAATTGACTGTATTATCTATAAATTACGATTTGTGAAAGACTGAATTTACAGAAACAAATAGTTTTGCTTTGCTGACCCGAAAAGTTGCATGGGAAGACAGGAGGTGGTGCCTGACACAGGGTGGGACTCAGCAGCAGGACACTGGCAGTCCCCGTCTGCCCTGGCTCGCTGTAACCCTGTTGTACAAAAGCTTCACAGAGTCAACCCTTCAGCGCTCTGAAGTCTTCTTTAGGTTGGGGAGTGACTGTGCTGCAGCAAAACGCACGCAGTTTGGGTCTAGGACCTTTGAAACCTTGATCTCAAGGTTTCAAACGTTGCTGGAGGTAGAGAGATGGTGGATGACACCCTCACTCAGGAGACCAGACAAACTGAGGAGCTGTGCCTGAACTTCTTCTGGTGGGACGTGTGAATCTCCAAAGCAGAGGTTTTCGTTAGAGCCCTCTGCTCCCGAACACTAGGAATATTTCCAGGCTTCAGCTCCGTAGGGGATGCACAGCTCCCACCCCAGCACTGGCTTTGCTCTGTCACCCTAAGGTCTGCCTCAGCGCACCTTTGGGGCCACCACCCAAAGCCAGCTGGTGGATAGGGCATGCAGATCAGAAGGAGGGTGCAAGAACGGATGTGCTGCAAAGTCAGACCAAACCTTTCTGGGAAGCTGACTAAATAATCCTCACAGCTTTTCAAGTATTAGTTTTGACTGGGCCACACATGGAAGATAAAATATGCCAAGAAAGGCTCTTCTGGCTCCACCAAACTCACTAGACATCTCACTGCTTGAACTTCCATGGTTTCCAAACAAAAAACATGGAGCTCAAATAAACATTCCTCCATAATCTACATAAACTGACCAGCTATCTGGAGCTTGCCCAGCAGCAGTCATCTGAATCGCCTGTGACTTGCAGCTATTCCCATTGCTGGGGAATTGTGTAATGGGTGACATGGGGTTCCACCTCTCAGCTCTTCCGCAGGCTTTTCTACTCGCTGGTTGCTGCCACACGCAGACTTCCAACTAAGCAAACTTACTTTAAAACTTTTTCTGATACCTCCCAGTAAATACAGCCAGAAAGCTTTCCTAGACAGATGAGACACTGGGACATACTCACGCCACGATCCCAGAAAGGTGAAACATTTCGGCGGTGAGGTAGGAGAGGTAGCTGTACAGGAAGACAAAGAGCGGCTCGATGACGCGGATATCCTTGGTGAATCGCGTGGTAAAGGCGGCGGTCATCCCAAAAGTAAGACCTACTAAAACTCCTCCTAGCCCAACCACAAAGAATTTTCCAACTCCAGCAAAAACATCCACAGTTTTGATGGTTGGCATTTCACAGAAAGATCGAAACAGCTTGTAGAGCACCTGGATGAAAAACGAAGGAGGAAAAAACAGCCGTTAGGAAGATATTCCCCAGACATGGCCATACGTAGCACTGACATCAAAATATGCTCTTGGGATTTCTGCCAGTGGAGGGTCAGCATCCTTCTCTGGAGGTCACGCACCCAACATGGGAGTGCTGTGGCACTCATGCATTTCTGTCTCCAGACATATGGTTGAAGAGCCGTTCGCCTGAAAGTTTCCCAGGACCTCAGGCCAGAGAAGAGGACCAGGAGTCCTCTGCCAGAAGAGGCTGTTGATGCCTTTTCCCTCTGCAGCTCTCACATCCCACCTCTCAGCACCAGCCAAGTCTTGCTCTGAACGTTAAACACTCAAAACAAAGGCTAGTCCTTACCACCGTCACCGCGTCGTTCAGGAGCGATTCACCGAAGACCAAAATGTGTAGCTTTTCGTTGACGTGTATCTCTTCAAAGACCGCCAAGACCGCCACGGGGTCCACGGCGGCGATCAGGCTGCCGAACAGGAGGTTGTGGAGCAACGACACGTCCTGCAGATGGAAGGCTTTCACCTGGCAGATCCCGTAGAGGGAAAAGCCGATCCCAAACACGTTCCATATTGTCCCTACGACTGCATAGAGGAGGATAGTGCCGATGTTCTCAAAGAAGGGACGGCTGGGCATGAAGTACCCTGCGTCGAGGACGATGGGTGGCAGCAGGTAGAGGAAAAAGATGTCGCTGTCCATAACGGGCGGTGACCTGTCGTTTAATCCGTAGATGATTCCCCCCATGATGAGTCCCACAAATATCAATAAACAGCTTTCGGGAACGACAGAAGGCAGCTTGTTATATAGATGAAACCCTGGAAGGGGATGAAAAGAAAAAAAATTAGTACTATCTCAGCCCAAACTGGCTGAAGAGCACCAACCAGCTCCTCATTGGGGCGAGCAAGCACCTCGTCCTCCCACCTCCAGCAGGCTACGCTTTGGAGTAGTAGTAATGAATACACACAATTAAGGTCAAGTCACTCAATCAGAAATCAGCTAAAAAAAAAATCTGAGTGTCTGCTGAAAATACCAAACTTTGCAAAATTACTGTTGGTTCAGACTGCAATTTATCATAGCATAAGGTTAAAGATATATTTTTAGGTAATACTCAAATAGAAAAGCTAAATAATCTGCATAAATAGAAAGGTATTTGGAATTATTTATGATGTAATCTACTTAGCATGCCATCTTCAGCACTAATGTAAACAGCAACTCCTGATTTTAAACACAATACAGCTTCCATAAATAAAAAAAAAAAACAAAAAGCAGTCTCATTAACTATAATTAGTGCCATTTTTTATATTATTGAATCCTTAACACTTAAAGGCAGCACTGAAAAAGTCCAATCAAGCCAGCCTTGTGCAACAGCCAGCGTTAGAGAGAAACGCTGACAGCCACTGCGAGTACTCGAGGTGAGTTATTAAAAGAAAGTAATTGAAACAAACCAAACAGGAATAGGAATAAGAAATAAATCTGTGATAGTTATTATTTCTTCATGCATGTTAACAGAGTTAAGATCTCATCATATAATATGCAGAACGGTGAAACAAAAAGACTGTTTCCATCTCAAAGAAATTCTGATCCCAAAGAACCTCAGAGACCATTCCCTTTTGAGGAAAAAAGAAAAGAAACAACGCAATGAAGTAACTTTTATAGCAGAAATTTAACAGAAGTGATCACAATTCCTGGAGGGGAAAAAAAAAATAAAATTTCCACTTTCCCATGCCCAGTTTTGCAGAAAAAAACAAACCAAGTGATAGGCACAAGTTACACAAAATATAATTTCTTACGTGTTGTTACCCAGAGAACCTCCTTGATGCAGAGAGATTTTATTTTTGGCCGTACAACACCTTGCACACAAACCAAATTATTCCTTGTGGCTGGCCAGACGCAGCACCCTTTAAGACCAAGGAGTCTTCATTTTAAGATGAAGATGTCAGTGGACAACCTGCAGGTAGTGTAGCTGTTAAGCTAATTGAGATGAACACACACCTCGGTGGGTCCTGCAGTTAAATAAAACTGCTGGAAAACCTGATAGTTTTCCTACTAATAGCAACACCATGCACAGGTGTGAACTTCTAAGACGGAAAACCGTCATTTCCAACCTAAAATGCAACTGCGTTATTTTCCGTGCGTGCAGTATGGCTGGCACACAATATAGAATCATGGAATGGTTTGGGTTGGAAGGGACCTTCAAGATCATCCAGTTCCAACCCC